TTTAGCATACACCGGCTCGAGCTGATGCGCTATAGACAGCGGACAGACGAAACTACGAAACGACGAGTTCGTAAATAGGTGCCGAGACAAGGCACGAGTTTGCAACTTTTCAGAGAACGAACTCCAGGAAAGAATAATGGAGGTGGTGATTGCCACAACACCAATCGAATCTTTCCAGAAGGCTTTGCTGGACCAGCCCAATGGGTACCCTATCGACAGTATCCTAGCGGAGGGCAGGAAGTTCGAAGCCCTATCGTTGGGGAGACAGTGTCTACAAACTACTGTTTGAAAGGAGGGGGAATGTTGTGATAGGAACTATGTTACTACGCGCAGGCGTTTATATGTAAAAGGGCAAGAGAACAAAAGGAAATAAAGATTGGGAACTGTAATGTATTAAGTTTTCAATAGAGTAATAGTTACCGCTGTACGGTGGCGCCGCCACCCGGTTCTACCAGAGAAATAAAAGATGGATGATTATATGACAAGCTATTGAATATTAGTCCTTTACTAAGGCCGGGAGCCGGGCATAGAGCCGAGGTGCAAGGACATAACAGTGGCGACGATGTAGTTAAAGTCTTGGAGAGTAGGAAGAATGCATAATGGCAGCCATAAGTTTGGAAATTGGAGCCGTAAAGCCGTTCGATATGACAGGCCATGCTTCCAAGTTGGGACCACGCTGGGCCAAATGGAAGAGATCGTTCCAGTACTTTCTCGACGCAAAAGCGGTGGTAAATGCGCCACAAAAACGGGCATTGTTGCTGCACACGGCGGGGCCAGAAGTACAAGAACTGTTTGACGCTTTGCCAGACCCTGGTCCAGGCCCAACCAGAGTAGATGCGGACGGGAGCGAAATCCTGGAGGCACCATGTGTGTATACACAGGCTGTACGTACATTGGATGGATACTTTATCACTAAGCTGAATGAGTCCTATGAAAGACATGTTTTCCGTGGATTGTCTCAGGATTCTGGGGAGACTGTGGATAAATTTGTGTCACGTCTTCGTGCCCAGGCAAAGTTCTGTAACTTCCCGAATGTTGACGAGAAAATTCGGGATCAGTTGATTGAAAAGTGTTCTTTAGCTAAACTGAAGCGAAAATATCTTGAGCAAGACAGACTTAATGAAGTTAATGGGTAGTAGTGAGACCACGAGTAGTGAAAATGGAACCATTCAGTTTCAGTCAGCCATGAAAAGTTCAGCGCACAAGGGTGGCTATGGTAAGCCATCCAAGTTCAAAAAGGGAAATCGTCGACCTAGTGCAGACGGAGCTAGCACTCTAGTGGAAGTAGTCGGCCAAATCGGAATGACGAGTGTTATCATGTAACCAGCGAAAATGAAATTATTGCGTTTATCTGTGTTTATTTACTACAGTTAATTTCGGCCTGTGCCCACACAAGAAAAAAAAATCAGCTAATGATAAGAGTAATGTAGGAATGTAAATGAGAATAATAAAAGCTTATAATAATAACAACAACAACGAGTTATGGGTTATTCTTGGCTAAATTCTTATACAACATTAGTGTCTGCCACGAATTAAATAGCATTGATTTTGCGTGAAAGGTGGCTTTTTACGGCTACTTATATTTGTCCATCTGCTTGTCTGTCCCACCCGTTGAAGCATCAGCCAGAAGAATTTTGCTTTGGTGACAGCCTTGAAATGAACTTGTCCCACATGTATTGCTTTATTAGAACAAGTCTTAATATAAAACAATCCATTATGTCAATCGCTTCAGCAATAGTCGCCCTACGGTGTCTACACTGTCTATCCGCAGCAAAGCGGAGCAATGAAAGCGAGGATTTATGTTAGGTGAACTAACTTGGATTCACCTAATCTCAAAACCTGACAGTCGCCTTTGCACAATTTCTATCGCAAATAAAGCGTAAATGCTTATTCTTGAGTTATGATAAACATTGTCTCCAGCCATCATCGTTGGAGCAATTAAATAGAACGTCTACCAATAGCACCCTTATGAAAATTAACCGAGTGCATGCTTCCGAGTGCCGATTTCTTGAATAGCAGGTCACAAGACATGTTGCGTTCGTTTACCATCAAATTTGACAAAAAAAGCTCTTTACATTTAGTGAAAATATTTATATCTATGCAAAATTTGAACAGTTTTTTTTTAATGTGCGATCACGTGACATTCTAAATTAACGAGAAATGATGTTCGACAGGCGAATTGTTTATTTTATCACATAGAATATCAAGCTTCGCATAGCTGAATGGAATTTTATTCAATGAAAGTTGTTCAATTCTCTACAGGTGACTGCTCAAATGAGGCATAGATTTGGGCTAACGCTCCATTAGGAGTGTTCCCAACTTTGATATCATTAATGATTAATGATTAATGATTGATAATCCTAACCCTAGCCCTAACGCTAACCTAAATGACATTAAACCACAAACTAATATATGACTATATATATGTTATTATGACCATTAATGACATTAAAGTTGGGAACATTCCCTGCGCAGCTACGTATAATGCGAGCACGGTAAATGAGACTGTTTACTGTATTTAGATCTGTATATCACTGTGTATGTCTACGTATAATAGAAATATAACAATAATATTTGTGTTATTTGAATAAATTGTTGTTGTCGTTGTTATATTGTCGTCGTTGTCGTCGTCATTCCTTTCCTGCTCCTCCTTGAATCGACCTAGTGCAGACGGAGCTAGCACTCTAGTGGAAGTAGTCGGCCAAATCGGAATGACGAGTGTTATCGTTGCGGAAAACGGGGTCATTTTGGTCGAGACCCAACTTGTCCAGCCAAATCGGTGGAATGTCGAAAATGTGGGCGCATCGGGCTGAAATCGTTGATCAAATACGTAGAGGAAACGGAGGAATCGGTACTCAGAATGTATTCGATGGAATCGGGAATATCGAAAGGCTTCGAAGTTGTTCTTCAATGCGGTGGCAAGAATTTGCCCATGAAAGTTGATACCGGAGCCAGTGTTTCGATTTTGCCCAAAACCGTGTACGACCGTAATTTTGCGCATATTCCGCTAAGTTCATCAAAGCTGCAACTCAAAGTATACGGAGGTGGTAAACTGTCTGTTTGTGGTGAGATGTCAGCAGAAGTGGTACATAATGATCAGAAAGTTGTGTTGCCATTACTTGTAGTCGAGCAGTCCGGACCTGCTTTGCTTGGTAGGAATTGGCTCGGTAGCTTGAAGTTGAATTGGGCCAATATCTTTAGTGTAGAGCTGCAACCCAAACTGCATACCATGGAGGATGTACTCGATAAGTACAAGCGCGTATTCGAGAAGAAGCTAGGTACTGTAAAGCAAACATTAAGGCGAAGGAGAGGGCACAGCCTATCCTTCACAAGGCTCGACCTGTGCCGTATGCGTTGAATCCGAAAATTGACAAGGAACTGGACAGGTTAGAGTCCGAGGGAATGATCAGGAAGGTTGAGAGGAGTGATTGGGCATCGCCGATAGTATGTGTGCATAAGAAAGATGGCTCGATAAGAATCTGTGGTGATTTTAAGGTGTCTGTAAACACTGTGTTGCTTGATAACCGGTACCCGTTGCCAGATATCGAAGATATGTTTGCGACAATGGGAGATGGCACCATGTTTAGTAAGATTGACCTTTCCAATGCCTATCAGCAGATGGAGCTAGATGAGGACACTTGCCAGTATTTGACCATAAACCCTCATAGGGGGCTGTACCAGTATACCCGTTTAACATATGGAATCGCTTCCGCACCGAGTATGTTTCAATCCATGATGGATCAGGTGTTACACGGACTGGACACTGTTGAGTGTAGGATTGATGATATTGCGATTCGTACCACTCCACATGAACATTTGTTTGTAGTCGAAGAAGTGTTGGCACGACTATATAAACACGGGATTCAGGCAAAATGGGTAAAATGTGTCTTCGAGAATCCAAGTATGGAGTACGTAGGGGACGAGGTGGACAAAGACGGCAGACATCCACTAAAGGATAAAGTCACTGCGATTGAAAACGCTCCGCAACCGCTAAATGTTCGAGAGTTGAAATCTTATTTAGGCCTCTTGAATTTCTACGCGAACTTCATACCGAACCTCAGCACCCTGTTACATCCATTACATGAGCTGTTGAAGCAGGAAGTAGAGTGGAACTGGTCTGAAAGTTGTGCTGAAGCTTTCAAGAGGAGCAAAACTGCGCTTTTAGAAAGTAACGTGTTAGTGCCGTATGATACGAAGCAGAAGCTCATACTTGCGACCGATGCTTTACCCTATGGGGTAGGAGCTATGATTTCTCACGAGATTGATGGAGAGAAGCGACCAGTGGCATTTGCTTCCAGAACTATCACACCTAGTTAACAGAACTATTCGCAAATTGAAAAAGAGGCGCTTGCGATCGTTTATGGAGTTCGTAAATTCCATAAATATCTCTATGAACGTCAGTTTCATCTCTCCACGGACCATCAACCGTTGGTAAAGATCTTGGCTCCCAAGACCGGTATTCCGACCTTAGCTGCTGCCCGAATGCAGCGTTGGGCAGTAATCCTACAAGCCTATCAGTATACTGTGTCTTATCGCCGATCCGAGGATAATGCAAACGCAGATGCATTATCACGCCTTCCGAGCCATGAGCCGGTAGCACGCGAAGATGTCGAGGCAGCAGAGACATTTTTTTTCTCCAGCCTGGAGGAGCTGCGAGTCAGAGCAAAAGACATTACAAAACGCACTAGTAGGGACACTGAGTTGAGCAGAGTGCGTCACTACATCCAGAATGGTTGGCCTGGATATTTGAAGCCTGAGGAGGAGAAGCTGAAACCCTATTTCTTGAGGAGAAATGAACTGTCTACCTTGCAAAATTGCATAATGTGGGGTATGCGTGTGGTCATTCCTACGGAATTTCGGACCAGGCTCCTGCAAGAATTACATGAGGGGCACCAAGAAATTATGTCAACCAAGTCTATCGCGCGAAGTTATATGTGGTGGCCCGGACTCGATTAGGACATTGAACAGTTATTAAAAGGGGCACCATTTGCCAAGCAGTCATGAGGAGCCCTCCAGTGGTACCGCTGCATCCCTGGAAGTGGCCTACTCGCGTGTTTCAGCGAGTGCATGTGGATTTCGCAGAGAAGACTGGGGACTATTTCTTCATACTGGTGGACAGCTACTCAAAATGGATCAAAGTAGCACACATGCGCTCGACTACAACAGAGAAAACCATTGAGGTTTTGAGATCTTGGGTCTCACGGTTTGGGCTACCCGAAACATTGTGTTCAGATAACGGACCGCAATTCATAGCAAAAGAGTTTGCGCTGTTCTTGAAACGGAATGGTGTCCGCCATATTCTTGTTCCGCCCTATCACCGAGCCTCTAACGGAGCTGCAGAGAGGTTAGTGCAAATTGTCAAGATGGCACTACTAAAGGAAATCGAGAAAGTGAAGCAAGGGGGTAAAAATCTGCCTATGGGACATCGACTGGCAAATTTCTTGATCCGCTACAGGATTACACCGCATTCCGTTACTGGGCAGACACCGTCAGAACTGTTCCTTGGCCGCAGAGCACGTACAATATTCAGCGTGCTAGTGTCAAATCTTGAAGAGCATGTAGTGGACAAACAGTGGCAGCAGAAATATCAGCATGATCGAAGCAGAGTAAAATTCCGTGAATTTGAACCGAATAATGCTGTCTGTGTAAAAGATTATAGTGACTCTAACTCTAATTGGTCTCTGGGAACAGTGGTGAAATGCATGGGACCAACATCCTATTTGGTTCGGGTTGGACGAAGTTTGAGGCATGTCCATGTAGACCACCTACTCAAGTTTGAGGGCAAGAAGGGGTTAACGGAGCCAGAGAATGCTGTGTTGGAAAAGCCTGGAGAGGTTTACCCTCCAGTTGGTCCTAGACTGGCCACAGTTCCAAAAGACAGTGTTGATTCTCCAATAGTGGACACTCAGTAGCCCACCGAGACTGCTATTCCTAGTTAGAACAATGACATTGATCTGGGTACACACGCTAGTTCTAATGCTAGCCCTGTGGTTCCAGAGACTCATGTTGTTCCATTCAGGGTGTCTACCTGGATCCGCAAACCGGTAAACAGACTCAATCTATAAACAGACTATAGGCCTACAGTGCCTACTGTGTTCAGTGTTGTGAAATTGATGACGGTATGGCTATTTGCCAAGTTCACGAGTTAAAGTTAGTTACCAATTCTAGTTACTCCCCTATATTTTGGAGTGTTCAAGTGTTACGACAAGTCAGTTGTAGAAGGAGAGAAAGAAGAAAAATTTTACGGTATTCTGTTAAAGCGGTATTTCAGAAAATAGACATTTTCATAATGGACATTTGCCAAACGTGCAGAGTAATTATTTTGGATAGTCTAAATAAGACAGAGATCTACAAGTTTAGAGTTGGTTGAGTTTGAGTCTATAAAGGGGAGGAGTGTAATGTATTAGGTTTTCAATAGAGTAATAGTTACCGCTGTACGGTGGCACCGCCACCCGGTTCTACCAGAGAAATCAAAGATGGATGATTATACGACAAGCTATTGAATATTAGTCCTTTACTAAGGCCGGGAGCTGGGCATAGAGCCGAGGTACGAGGACATAACAGGAACCAGCATGGTGTTCTCTCTGAAATTACGTGTTATGTTTAATCTGAATAGAGTCAACAACATAACACAACAGGCGTCACACGGACTCCTGCATATGTGAAATCAGGAAGTCCGACAGAAAATCAGGGAGTATTTGACTCCGGACTCGCGTTAATTTCGCACCCTGTATAATGGTGGCATAGGGCCTAAACACCTGCAGATGGCTGTATCTCCTACAAACAACAAGCTAGAATAATCATGTGTTACCTGCATTGATATTTTCAGTTCCACCACGTCTCCACTGCACCTGTGGCTTTGGAATTCCCTCTACCTGGCATTTGATCAGGGCATTGGTGTAAATCACAGGATTTTGCAAAGGTGGTGCATCTACGATTGTGATATCCTCTGTAATAACAATAGCCAGAGTTATATCTTAAAATGCTGAGAAGCACATGATAGCAAGTTGATTCCATTCAAGATGCGATCAAATCACCCGTTGCTGTAAGAAAGAGCAATATAACGGCTTGCTAAATTTAACACAATAACTCATTGTAAATTTTGCCCGTGACCATAATTTTCTAACCGGGATAGCTGTATACGTAGCGACGCTTACAAATGCTTTCATGAAATTGCTTTAAATTTCAGATGCAACAAGACATGGGTAGGGGTATTCGAGCTCTGCTCTATCGCGATGCCCCCACCCCTCATGCCCGATCGACTACGATCGTGTGAAAGACTTACGGTACACCAATACGGAGAGAGGTCTGACTATGGGTTGACCGTTAACTCTCGCTTCACAGGTGTATATTCCCTGGTCTTCGGGCCTCACTTCTCGAATGTACAACTGAAGGTCCTTGTTATTTGGAGCCAGCTTCACGTGCACTCTGAAACGACATCCGAACAATCGATTATACGAAATGCGTGAAGGTGGACTACAAAAACAAGCTCGAGGGATACAAAAACAATGGCTTTTGCCCCATTAAGCAGATGATCATAAGTAAGTAGCTTATAACACTGTATTTCTTCAGCAGGGGATTTTTATGGTAGCTATTGACAGGTGGTCACTCTTTAACGGGTGGTCACTAACACTTTGTCGACTGTAATTTTTTTTTGATATTATTATTGTTACATTGGTTCAAACTTGCTACTTTTTGTTAATACAGATTTTCGTAGGAAAGGAAATTTATGTGTAATTTTAAAGCACGTATAGATCTACCTACCGTTAACTGATGTCATCTGTGATTTCTTTTTCCCTCTCATATGGACCCCACCACTCAAGCTCCTGTGGTTCAGGATTTCCCTCTGGCATACAAAGGGCTGTTGCCTCTAGCATGTATTCTGCGACCAGAGTTTGTGGAGTTAAGACTAGATCGGTAGCCTGCCCATCTGCAAACGATAAAACAGACACGTTTTCGTTTAGTCGACGAAACAATGCGACATTTGATAACACATGCCTACATAATATTATATTATGAAATATTATAACTTGACGGTAGTATCGACACAGATCTAATCATATATACGTTACATAGACTGCAATTTATACCAGACGTTGCAAACTTCAGACAGTTGCACTTATAATTATATTTAGCACATTTCACACTTACCTATTAAGGGTGCAGTGAGTAAGATAACTAACCAAACGGCGTACATGATTCTTTTTCTTTATAGTAAGGATAGCCAGCGATAGGTAACGATGTGACGTGCACTCTACTGATAAATGTCGAAATGTAACAACTATATATAGGTAAGTGAATGCTGTTATCATAACTCTGTGTACTGTGCACGTTATCAACTTCAGATTACTGATTGGCTTTGCTCTATGGTAAGATTTCAGCCTGACGCAGCAAAATACCACAAAAGGGGCGCTTGTACACATACGAGTCGCATGATGTGATAACGGGGGTTCTTAAGTAAAACGGAAAGAGTTGTAAAAAAACAATGTTCAAATGTCGCTTTGCTTTTCCATTTTTTTCAGAGCGAGACGAAAATAATAATTCTTATTTGCAAGCGTGCCACGCCGCGGAAACGGGTTTCTATACACATAGGCTTGTAAATTTTGCATTTCTTTTTGCGAAACATCTCGCCACTTGGTGAAATGACAGCGTATACGTAGTCACGCCATCCACGCACGCACGCATGCACGCACACTTGCACCTCCGCGCGCACGCCCGCACATTCACGCATGCCCGAACGCATGTAGGCACGCATGCAGGCACGCACGCACGCACGCACGCACGCACGCACAGTTGCACCTACCCGCGCACGCTGGCACATTCA